CCCCAAATGGTTGCAACAGCTGAAGCTGTGGCAATCCGAAGCCAGGAGCCAGGAGGATCCTCTGGGTCTCCCACACGGCTGCAGGGGCCTGAGCACCTGGGCTGTCTTTTACCGCTTTCCCAGGCCATAGCAGAGAGCTGGATCAGAAAAGAAGCAGCCAGCACCGCAGGCGGAAGAATAACCTACTGTGCCACAGCACCGGCCCCAAGTGTGGTGGCCTCTAAAATGACCCTCTATGTCCTTATGAAGTCCCCACTTACAATAAATAGGGTGATCAGTGTGACTAATAGGGTACTACAGAAACGATATGTGCAATTTCTGAGACTAGCTCATAACAGATGTTTGGCTTCCTTGTTCACTTCTGTTGATTCTTGTTAGCTCCCATCTTTATTTTTAAAGAAATATTTATGGGGGCCGGCATTGTGGTGGTATAGCAGGCTGCCACCTACAGCACCGGCATCCCATATGAGCGCCGGTTGAGTCCCAGCTGTTCCACTTCCAATCCAGCTCCCTACTAATGCACCTAGGAAAGCAGCAGAAGATGGTTCAAGTCCTTGGGCCCCTGCACCCACATGAGAGAGCCTGAAGAAGCTTCTGGCTCCTGGCTTCAGCCCGGCCTGATCCCAGCCATTGCAGCCATTTAGGGAGTGGGCCAGCAGATGGAAGATCTCTCTCTCTCTCTCTCTCTCTGTGTGTGTGTGTCTCCCTCTCTATATAACACTGAGTTTCAAATAAATCTTTAAAAATTTTTTATTTATTTATTTTTAGATTTTATTTCAGAGGCAGAAAGAGAGATTAATCGCCCATCCACTGGTTCACACTCCAAATGGCTACAAAACCCAGAATGGGCCACATAGAAACCAGGAGCCAAGAACCCCATCTGGGTCTCCCATGTGAGCTGTAGGGACCCAAGTATTTGAGCCATCACCTGCTGTCTCCGTGGGTACGCATTAGCCAGAGGCTGAAATGGAGCTGTGACTTGAATCTAGGCACTCGAATATGGGATGCAAGTGTCTCAAGTGACGTTTTAAATACAGCACCCAACACTCACACCCCAGCTTCCATTCCTAAGGTGTATTATTTTATACCATTACTCCACAACTCAGGAGGTCTATCTTTTCTGAGCCCTGCAGTTCCTAGTCCTGTCTCTGGTAGCCACTAGAAGGAAATCAGAGAAACCAGCAAAAGAGTTGGGGAAAGACCAGAGGCTCCCACAGTGACTGATGATGCTCAGGGGCTCTGTCCAGTGACACAGAATCATGGAATTTCTTCTGTGTGGTTTGAGCTGGGGTGAAAAATTTATTTCAAATAATCACTGAGATTGAGTTTGGGCCAGGATTTTATTAAACCCACTTTTTATGTAAAATAGGAAAAAATGTTGTCTGGATATGAGGTAAATAATTTTGAATCTTTCTCTCAGCCCGAATGATAATGAGATGTATTCAAGCTTCCCGTTTGACTTCCTTTATTAATTAGCAGGGACATCTGCATTAACACAGGATCATTAATTTATGATCTAGTGGGTCTTTTCCACCTCTAACTCCGCTGATGAAAGAGAATGAAGCAAAAAGGAGCTGTTTGATCAAGGCTTCTCCCACAGATTTAAAAGATGGCCCTGAATAACATGAAAGATATTGATTTTGCTGTTGACTGGTTTGTTGTGAGGTAAACATATTAACCAGAAATGGAGGCATTGATGTCACAATTTGTATTGCTGCTTCCTGACTCACTGACACGGAAGCATACTCTCAGTCTTTAAATTCTAAATGAAATCCGACATCAGTCGTGGAAATCCAAGGTGCACCACTGCTTGCAACTAAGATCACAGCTTCCTCTGGGGGACCATCAGAAAACGTGATTGAAATGATAGCTTTGTGGGATGCACTTCCTGAGGCCACGTCCGCAGCCTTCACGTTTCTCTCCTTCTCTGTCTCTGCTTGAGTCTCAGTGAGTTTTCCTGATACGTGTTCTGGAGGCAGAGAGAGTCACTGATTCCAAATAGAACCCTCCAAAACAGAAAGCAGCACATGCCACAGATGGGTTAGCTTCCTGCTGCTGCTGGAACGGATGCGCACGAACCGAGCGGCTTAAAATACATGGAGTGTCTTTCTCTTCCAGAGGGCCGAAGTCTGGCCAGGCCTTGTTGGACCAAAAGCGTGGTGTTTACGAGGCTCTCTGTTCCCTTCTGAAGGTTTTAACGGCGAACTCGTTTCCTGGACTTGGGCGACTTCCAGAGGCTTCCTCTGCTCGTGACCCCCCTTTCCCATGTGCAAAGCCAAGCACCACGAGTTCAGTTCTCATTCTCCATCACTCTGAGCTTCTCCTGGACTCACATCTCCTGCTGACTCTTCTGCCTCTGCTTCCTCTTTTTTTTTTTTTTTAAAGATTATTTGAAAGGCAGAGTTACAGAAAGAGAGGGAGGGTCAGAAAAAAAGACAGAGGTCTTCCATCCACTGGTTTACCCCCCACAAATGACCACAAGTGCCAGGGCTGAGCCAGGCCAAAGCCAGGAGCCAGGACTTCAGCGAGGTCTCCCATATGGGTGCAGAGGCCCACGCATGGGTCATCCTCTGTTGCTTTCCCAGGCACATTAGCAGAGAGCTGGATTGAAAGTGGAGCACCTGGGATTCAAATGGGTGCCCGTATGGGATGTCAGCACTGCAGGTGGTGGTTTAAACCACCAGCTCCCTGCCTCTACTTTTTAAGGACTCACCATTACACTGGGCCACCTGGAAAGTCGAGGACCCTTCTCCCCATCTCAGGACCCTTAACATAATCATATCTGCAAAGTCTCTTTGCTATGGATGGTAATATAGTCAGTAGGGAGGCCAGCACTGGCATCCTCTGCCTGTGGTACTGGCATCACATATAGGTGCCCGTTCTAGTCCCGGTTGCCCTCTTCCAGTCGAGCTCTCTGCTATGGCCTGGGATAGCAGTAGAGGATGGCCCAAGTGCTTGGGCTCCTGCACCTGCATGCGAGACCAGGATAAGTACCTGGCTCCTGGCTTCGGATCGGTGCAGCTCCGGCTGTTGCGACCATCTGGGGAGTGAACCTATGGAGGGAAGACCTTTCTCTCTGTCTCTCTCTCTCTCACTGTCTGTAGCTCTACCTGTCAAAAAAAATCTTTAAAAAAATATAGTCAGCAGGTTAGAGATTAGGATGCAGACATTTTGGAAGGGCATTATTATGCCTATTACAACAGGTTTTAGGACATCTAAAATTAATTCTCTTTAGGCCAGGTAAAGCCAACTCCTGCAGTGCCAGCATCCCATATGGGCACTGGTTCATCCCGGCTGCTCCTTTTCCAATCCAACTCTCTGCTGTGGCCTGGGAAAGCAGTAGAAGATGGCCCAAGTCCTTGGGCACCTGCACCCTCATGGGAGGCCCAGAAGAAGCTCCTGGCTCCTGGCTTCAGATCAGCGCAGCTCCGGCTGTTGCGGTCAATTGGGGAGTGAACCAGCGGATGGAAGACCTCTTTCTCTCTCTCTGTCTCTCCTTCTCTTTCTGTGTAACTATGACTTTCAAATAAATAAATAAACCTTAAAAATAATATTCTTCAGGATGTGGTGCATTCTTCCTCCTGGAATACTGTACTCTGTAAGTTTGAAGAAGCAAATCAATTCCTCCAAGTCCATACCCACTGAAACATCATACAGACAGGCCAAGGCAGTCAACAGCGGGAATATCTGCTTCCTTTGCTATGAACTTCCTGGGGATCTAACCACAAAAGGAAGACCAGGGAACGAACCATTCATGACACAGCTCCACGGAGGTTCTATGAGTTTCCAGTGTTTTGGTTTTTTTTTTGTTTGTTTGTTTGTTTTTTTGACAGGCAGAGTGGACAGTGAGAGAGAGAGACAGAGAGAAAGGTCTTCCTTTGCTGTTGGTTCACCCTCCAATGGCTGCTGCGGCCAGCGCGCTGCAGCCGGCTCACTGCGCTGATCCGATGGCAGGAGCCAGGTGCTTCTCCTGGTCTCCCATGGGGTGCAGGGCCCAAGCACTTGGGCCATCCTCCACTGCACTCCCTGGCCACAGCAAAGAGCTGGCCTGGAAGAGGGGCAACCGGGACAGAATCCAGCGCCCCGACCAGGACTAGAACCCAGTGTGCCGGCGCCGCAAGGTGGAGGATTAGCCTAGGGAGCCGCGGCGCCAGCCTCCAGTGTTCTTGTTGCTGCTCTTTTTAAGAGTCCACCAAGGTGTCCACCACTAGTCCTATAAATTTTACTGATATATATATATAAATTTATATATACATATAAATTTTCACTTTTAAGAATATTTGATCCATAAGGAAGAAATGTATGTCTTAAATTTGTTACACATGAAAGAAAAAGGGAGGACAGCATGATTTCTTTCCATTTGCCATTGCTCTAGCCTCTTTCCAAGAGGCAGGAACAACATGGGTCCACGTTTTGGAGACTATTAACCATTTTCTTCCCAACTGTTATTATTTATGAAGATGAACAAATAATCCATATCTTAGCCATGTCCCTTTCCTACAAATCTTGCAATGTGTTTTCTTATTCTAATCCTTGTTTTCTTGTTTGCAGGAACTATATATATAACATACATATATATATAATTGATATTTTTAGAATAACTCTGACAGTACGGTATGTGCTCAGTAATGTAAAACATATATGAAACTCATCCAATTTTGATCAGATTAGGGAAAACAGTGGAAATGAAATAGCTACAATTACAAAGAGAACATGTTAAACTAGCCAAAAGTTTCTGTCAAATATATATTCCATATGTGAATTCCATCTATCTGGAAGTGCTACCTGGAATTCCAAACATGAAATAAGATGAAATAGTAGCCATTTGGGTATCTTAAATAGAAACCAGGGCAAAAGTGAGTAAAGGAAGATTTATTTCTCTGCTGGGCAAATGGCACAGATTTCCTTTTGATGGTCGACTGTTTCTAACACAGAAGGAGTCCAGCCCCACCCTTGATCAGCACCATCCACAAAGTTCCCATGGGGTAAGCGTAAGACACGTGCAGCCCACATTTTCCTGGCTATTCAAGCATCTTGAGCAAATGAGAAGGGAAGACAACAGGATTTTTTTTTTTCAAATCTTACAGGTGGTTTCAGTGGCTTAATGTGTTTGTCTAATTGCTCAAGTGTTACCTACGCAATATTGAGAGCAAAACTCTTATGTAAAGTTTCTTAATCAGCTTCGAAACGCTGCCTGCACCCTGTTTAGCATAAAGCTCCTTTTCTGCATGCAAAAGCTGAAATACGCCGTGTTCTTGTCTTACCCTTTGCCATCCAGTCTCGAGAAGCTGGATCTGACAAGCATAGCATTTAAAAAAAAAAAAAAAGGAGAAGAAGAAAAAGAAGAAAAAAGAAAGAATCAGGCAGAGGACTGGCACCAGCTGTTGCTAATAAAACAACTGCAGCCCCTGCCTCGGTAGCTTCCTCCTCTAAATTCACATCCCCGCGGTGGTGGCAGTAATTGGAAGGGGGTTACTGGGGGCATTTCTCTCTCAAGGGAGCCAACCCGAAAATTAATATTAATGCAATATCTGCTCCTTCAGACGAGAGTGGATAAGATGAAATGATTTAAGGAAGGCTTGATCAATCGTGCCATTTCTTGGCAAGAAAATGTTGCTTTTGCATTTAAGAAAGAACATCTGGGGAGAATCACGGTGGTTAACAGAATTGTGAGGCTGGCAACCCCAAATTCCCCTCCTTGATAGAGTTAGGCTTTCCCCCCCTGCTCTGGGACTTCTGGTTCCACTGGGGGCAAAAGCAAAACTTTGAAATGCTTTGCTTGAAAGTCTGCGCTCATGTTTCGGCACCCGTGCGGCGCCCCTGCTGCTGCTCACTGATTTATTAGCAGAGTCCGGGGAGGCATTCAGGTTTGCTGGTCAGCCTGTCTGATTCTGAAGAAAGGGCGGCTGCCCCCAGAGCTTTTTTGACTCTGTGACCCCGCGTCTGGCCCACGAAGGTCTTTCTGCTCCCAGGGCGGCTGGAGACAAGTTGCAGCCAAGAGCTCTTTGCGGCCGTGTGGACAGTTTAGCTGAACCTTTCAAAGTCTGGCGGAGTCAAGAGGTTGCTGCTTGCTGATGACCAGGCACCGGCGAGGCTGCACAAAGGGACCTTGCATTTGGGCAGATAGGCGCAGATTTCTTAAGACATTAAGTATGTCAAGGTTTTGCTACTGAAAGCACAAGTGGAGCCTTGTGTGGGAGACAAAGATGTGTGGCCTCGGGGAGGGGGTGGGGACCCTCTGATCCCTCCACTGTTCTCTCTGAATAGTGACGGGCCCAGCATGGAGACATTTGTGACCTGCATCCCCCTTGCCAGATGCCAGACGGCCATTAGTTAACCAGAGAAGTGACCTTTGCGGTGACATTCCCACCACCCGTTCACTTCCCCAAGGAGGCTCTTGGGGAGTCGGTGCTGGGGCTACAGAGCAAGGTGGGGCTCATCAGGAGAAAATCAGCACAAAACAATTTTGGAGGGTTACAGGAAGGCAAAGGCATGCAACTCCAAGTCAAAATAAAGAGAAGGTGGGTTCCCGAAGAATCTTCCAGCCTCGTGTGTTACAAAGATTATAGTCTCATCCTAGCAACGTCCCAAGGAATACCTCCCATGAAAGAGTGTCCACTCACATAGAACATTTCCCCCAAGTCCTCCTGTTGATTTGTTAGACTTTAGTTGTCCAAACGCCCTACCACCCTTGAGACAACGGGGTCCATCCTAAATCTACCCCATAAGTATCCCTGGCAGAGCAACTTGGGAATCAGTGGTTGAAAGATCCTCAAAAAAGTTCATGGAAAAATGTGTCTTATGAAAATAAACTATGCATGAATTTTAAAAATTGTTTGCACCAAAGCAAACTTACCTCTTGATTCCATTTTCCAAAAACTTCTTCCTGAAGGCCCCTCGTATTATTCCCAGCCTTCCCTTCCATTTTCCCTTATTCTATACCTTTTGAATATGTTACTCTTTCATGTTGTATTCCTGCAAAGTAAAAAAAAAAAAAAAAAAAAAAAAAAGTCACCAGCATTATCAAGGAGCACTTTTCTATGCACATTTGCACATAATATGGCTCCTTTTTGTATAAAAAGAATTTGCTTGTTTTCCCTTTTAGAAAGTCCCTTTTGTAATGGACTGAGGCCCCCCATGCCTAAAACTGTACTTGGCGTATCATCGATGCTTAATAAATATTTGAGTGAATAAATAGAGATTTCTTTTCCACCCTTTAAGAGCAAAGACCCTAAGAAGATAGTGTTTGGATGACCAAAAACAAGAAGGCTGACAGTTCTTAATGAGGCTGTAAAACATTGGCCAAGATTCATTTCATAAGAGGATCATTGATTTGATTGCTATTGTTCCATCTCTGGACCACAGGCAGGTGAGATGCTTCAAGGCCCTTCACAGGGACATGCATCCGTACACGTGGTTTCTAAAGAAACACTATTCTACTCTTTAGTACATTATGTTATTGCTATGGAAACAGCGATATTTTAAAGAACACTGGAACTTTCCAAATACAGTATTTATTCTTCTTGTGCTAGCAAAATAACGTGTTTCGCCTAAGAACTTGTTAGGTGGCCTGCAGCTAAATATAAAGAGACAGATTCTCATCATGTGTGAGTCTCTGGGAAAATTTGGACCACCAGCTTTTCAAGATACATTTTAAAATAAACTCAGTGCAAAACTCGCCTTCAATGAAACACTTAATATGTTAGATTTGTTTCTGAGTTAGAGAAACTATTTATACTTGAACCCCAGAAACACCCTGTCTAGGTTACAAGCTGGCATTGCCTTTGGATTTTTCAGAGGACCACCTTTACTTATGACTTTTGTGTTTACTTTGTCCATGTTCAGCTGGCCAGTGGTCCTGGCTTTCCTAGGTTGATATCCCATATTAAAGAACAGAGTATGCAACAAAACCTGGACCCACACCTAGGCTGTGGTAGTGTGAGAGAAGAGGAGCCAAGCAGGATCAGATGAATGATACCACAGGCTCACCCAACTCTAGTTCACACACATGGAATTATCAATTGATAATACTCACTGGTTGGAAAGAACAGGCTACCAAAGAAGGAGGTACCTTTCTCTGAAGGGAGGAGAAAACTTCCACTTTGACTATGACCTTGTCTAAATAAGATCGGAGTCGGTGAACTCAAAAGGCTTCCATAGCCTTGGCAACTCATGACAAGAGCCTAGGGTGATTACTGATGCCATAAACAAGAGTGTCAATTTGTTAAGTCAACAACAGGAGTCACTGTGCACTTACTCCTCATGTAGGATCTCTGTCCTTAATGTGTTGTACATTGTTGATTAACGCTATAACTAGTACTCAAACAGTACTTTACACTTTGTGTTTCTGTGTGGGTGTAAACTGTTGAAATATTTACTTAATATATGCTAAATTGATCTTCTGTATATAAAGATAATTGAAAATGAATCTTGATGTGAATGGAAGAGGAGAGGGAGCGGGAGAGGGGAGGGTTGCGGGTGGGAGGGAAGTTATGGGGGGGAAAGCCATTGTAATCCATAAACTGTACTTTGGAAATTTATATTTATTAAATAAAAGTTAAAAAAATAAAAAATACTCACTGGTACAGTTTTGCCTTCCATATTCATCTGTTTTTAAAGCAAACCTAGGTAGATGCATTTTTTTAAGATTTTTTTTTGAAAGGCAGAACAATAAAGAGAGGAAGATTTTCCATTTGCTGATTCACTCCTAAGATGGCCAGATCTGGGCCATACCAAAGCCAGAAGCCAGGAGCCCCATCTTGGTCTCCCACATAGATGGCAGGGGCCCAAGAATTTGGGCCATTTTCCACTGCCCTCCCAGGTACATTAGCAGGGAGCTGGAACAAGCACTCTGATATGGGAAGCCAGCATTGTAAGCAATGGCTTAACCAGCTGCACCATAGCACAAGGGCTCTTAGAGCTCTCAGCAACTGAAAGATATTACAACCATGTATCCACGAACATAGTTCACTTTAACCAAACATTTTTCCAGTTAGCAGTTTAACTTAGGGGAAAGATATACACTCATCTGACAAAATATGCTGCTCACATTATGATAATTTTTAATATATTGTCTTCCATGCAAGAGCACAAAGGGATTTCTAACTAAAAAAATACTTGCAGGGCTGTTGCTGTGGTGTAGCAGGTTAAGCAGCCACCTGCAGTGCTGGCATCCCATAGGGTCATTGGTTCAAGTCTTTTCTGCTCTACTTCTGATCCAGCTCCCTGATTGTGCACCTGGGAAAGAAGTGGAAGATGGCCCAAGTCCTTGGATTCCTGCACCTGCATGGGAGACCTAGAAGAAACTTCTGGCTCCTGGCTTAGGAACAGCCCAGCTCCAGCCATTGTGGCCATTTGGGGAGTAAACCAGTGGATAGACGATCTGTGTGTGTGTGTGTGTGTGTGTGTGTGTGTGACTCTCCCTCTGTGTCTCTCTGTAACTGTCTTTCAAATAAATCAGTAAACCTTTAAAGGAAAAAAACTTGTAATTTATAAGGATATAGTTAAACAATGTATTTTATGGATAGGTAATAATAACCGATTACATTATTTGCAGAAGATTTTATACTGCTTTGATGACATATCTAAAAAATACAAAACTCGGGGGCCAGTGCTGTGGCGCAGTGGATTAACGTCCTGGCCTGAACTGCCGGCATCCCATATGGGTGCCGGTTCAAGTCCCGGCTGCTCCACTTCCCATCCAGCTCTCTGCTGTGGCCTGGGAAAGCAGTAGAAGATGGCCCAAGTCCTTGGGCCCCTGCACCTGTGTGGGAGACCTGGAAGAACCTCCTGGCTCCTGGCTTCGGATCGGCACAGCTCTGGCCTTTGTGGCCAACTGGGGAGTGAACCATCGGATGGAGGACCTCTCTCTCTTTGCCTCTCCTCTCTCTGTGTAACTCTGACTTTGAAATAAATAAATAAATCTTTAAAAAAAATACAAAACTCATATTCCATTTACACGTAATGCATGGTAAGGGTATGGAATACGTTTGCCATTCTCCTCTTCTGTGCCTTCCCTACCATAACCAATGCACTCTCCGCCAATTCTTACTGGTCCCCAGTATTTCCCACACCGCACTCCAAGTACACCGCATCCAGCAGGAGGACTTGGTTTATTAGTTTAAAGCTATTTGCTCTCCTTGAGTTAGACTGTTTCCAAGTGTAACAATGCATTCACCTAATGGCACACCAAAGTATACTTACACATTTCCTTTCTATTCTTTTTTTTAATGTTCACTTTAAAAAAATCCTTGAAAATTCACTCATTTGCCATTTTTAATAGGGCCAGATGAAACCAAATACCCAATACAGTAACCTTCAGAGAGAGAAGATTTGCTGAAAATCCTCCCTCTCTCTAGTCAGAAAAAATAATACCCATGCAGTGCCCAAAGCCTCCCTCAACCCCACGATGAGGCTCCGTCCTTGTTGCTTACAGAATTCTATCACTGATTGCATCCCTTCCGCCTGCCCCATGACCAGGCTCCATCACGTTTCCTCCATCTGTCTTCTCTCTTCTTGTCTCCTTCCCCTGGATCCTCCTGCACTCAGATTTCTGGAGGAGATCCCCCTCCCGGTCTGGCTCCGTCGCAAACACGTGACTCCTGATGTCAGCTGGGCCCCAGCAGCTCCTCTGCAGAAGCCGGCGTTGGCTTTCCTCCCCCACTTCATCAGGTCTCCTAAACCCTCCCCAGGACTCTCTTGTCTCCACCCCTGGCTCCCTGACTCAGCAGATGCCAACCTGTCACGGAGAGCACAGATGCCAATAGGTGAGGATGACCGCCCCAGCCGCCCTGACTCCTGCTCGCACCTCTGCATGTTCTGGTTCTTGGCTTGGCCTCGCCTCCGCCTCCACAATGCCCATCCCTCCCCTTGGCCCTGCGGCCCTCATCTAATCCAGGACCCTCTGCGTTACTTTCCTACCTCTCCCCCAACACACTTTTAAAAATCTTTTCTTGGACGAATTCCCTTAAACCCAGAAATAAGACCAAGAGTATTACTCACAAAAATACACTAACAAGCAAGCAACTATAAAAACCCAAAAAACAAGAACATAATGTGAGGCCTTCCAGAGAGCCTGGAGTTTCCTATAAACGTTTGGGCTTCATCCCAATTCTGAGTGCCTTCCCTCTTGCTCCCTGTGCCAAGGGTAAAATTCTGTCTGCCTCTGTACCTCCAAACCCTGCCCACGCTCTAAACTCCATATAAAATGTATTTTTCCTTCCCATTATCCCCAAATGCAAGTCATGACCTGCTTGCTTGGACATCGGCAGCAACCTGTGCCCCGCTTACTGACTCAATCTTTTTCTTCTTTCTTGTGTCATAAGTATGTGTATGTCTGGTCCTCTAACTGCTGAAACTTAAATAGGTCTATATGTGACTTATCTTTGTATTCCCAAAAGGGTTCAACATGTGATTATACAAGGGGTCTTCAAAAAGTGTACTGAAAATGTGTGAAAAAAGCTATGCATAGACATCAAAAAAAATTACAACAAAATGAACTTAGTTTTTAAATTTCATTTTTCCATTAACTTTTTGGAATACCCTGGCATATAGTAGGTACTTTCTCAGTCAGGCCCATTGAAAATTTTTATTTATCTCCTTTGTTTGCAAGGTGGAGATCAAGACAGACAGAGAGAGGCAGAGATATCGTCCACCCACGGGTTTACTCCCACAACAGCTGGGGCTGGGCCAGCCTGAAGCCCAAAACCCGGGACTCAATCCTGCCACACGGATGGCAGGGACCGGAATACTTCAGCCTTCATCTGCTGCCTCCCAGGGTGCACATTAACAGGAAGCTGCAAATGGGAGAGGAGCCTGGACTGGAGCCCAAGCACTCCCATCTAGGATGCGGGTAATCCAAGCAGCAATTTAACCGCTGCACCAAACTCCTGACCCAGCCATGTCCACTTTGGAGAGAGAAAGCCTCTGAGGTACCAGGGTCTTAGTGACATGCCTAAATCACCAGGTTTGCAAATGGCAAAGTTGCCACTAATTTCAGGGTTCTTTCAACTCCTTATGCACGATCCTGTGTTCTTGAAATGCCTGCTTCAATTGGATTACAATTTACCAATTTTGTGGTCCAGGGTAAGTTTCTTTGTATGCCTGAAGGCTTTTCAAATACATTTATTTCATATTGCACATAGTGGGGGCTAAATGGACCTTTGAATACGTAAGTGAATATGTTTTGGATGATGGCATCTATAAAGCTTAAATTTGTTAAGGGTAGAAATCAGAAGTGTTTTGGTGTGAAGAAGCACAATAGGAGCGTGGTACCGTCCCTGCCAGCAGCATGCACACGGAGGTCCGTTTACCCTCGCAGCAGACCTGGGGACTGCTTGTGCAAAGGAGAGTTGCCCCTGGACCCAAACACGGCGTCCCATTCTTTTTCTTATGCTACATTTCCATGTTTAGGATTTTGACAATTTAACACATTTTTAAAATTATAATGTGAATGTCATTTATTTTGAAATCTAGCTGTCAAATTCTGATGCTGAAGGTCAAAGATAGTACTACCAGACATAAGGAGAATATTAAGAGATGATTTACTTCTGCTCCTAAACTGTCTACCAAGGAACCGTCGACAAATGTTGAGCTGATCAAGAACATGCTCTGTTCTTACTTTCTCTAAGGTCAATTGAAATAGAAATCCCAGTATGTGTACAGTTGGGAACAAATCTGCTAAAGAGAATCTGGGTGCCTTTGTTGCTTTCCAGGTTATTTACAGTAATTGATGTTCACCTGGATCTAAGTTCTATTATATTTGACAAGGATAGGATTATGTAAAAGCCTCCCAGCACCACAGGTATTGTGGGGAGATCAAAGTGCATCCCCTGGGTAATAAGTAGTTTGCAAGTGCTGAGGAATGTACGATTTGTGACAGGATGGGACACTTGGTGATTCTGAATGGGACTGGGCAAAACATTCACTTGAACCCAGAAGAAGAGTCTATTATTCCAAGAATGTAAGAACTCTATTGCACCTTAAAAACAAACAAGAAAAAGAGGCTTAGGAGCAGATAACCACACTCATACAAGAAAAGGAGAGTTTTAGCCCTCAGCAGAATTTTTCAGTAATTGCCTCTCTGAAAAGGCTCTAACTAGAGTAATCACAAAAAGGTAAACTTAATGACATAAAGAAGTGATTGAGCACATTTAGGTGGGACAACCAAAGCCTGGATGTATTTGTTTTTCATTCCCCACTGAAAAGCAGGAGCTGTGTTTCATATCTGTGGGAAGGAGCCACAGGACTGAATACAGAGATTAAAATACATCATAATTGCTTTAGTCAAATGAACAGACTTTATATATAAAAGGGACCTATGAGCATAATTGAGAGAGATTTTGCATGGAAATGAAGCATCCATTACAACTCTAGTTCCCAACCACCTTACCTAACTTGTCTCCCCACACTGGATATTTTAATCTCTAATTTATTAAAAAGCAAAATGTTGGAATGTTGGATAGATGGAAATCATTTGTCAGATCACGAAGTCCTCATAACATTTCTCAGCCTTAATAACACATCTGCTCTTAGAATGTGGTCTCTTGATAATAGCTGTCTGAAAGTGCCTGAATTTAGGGATTATTTGAGACAACAGATTTCCTTCTATTTGGAATTGAATGAGGCATCTGCTCCCTCACCGTTAGCTTTGTGTGATAGTCTCAAGGCATTCATAAAAGGGCAGATCATTTTGAATATTATGAGAAGGAAAAAAGACCTCTGTTGACACTATGAGATTCAGAAAGAGGAATTAAGAACCTTTAAGGGTAGTATTTTATGTGGAGAAATATTATTCTGTAGTTTATTTTCCCATCTGGGGAGAATGTGGGGCCTACAGCTAACGGAGTGATGCAGTCCTCCAACACCAACAATTTAGGGGAAACTTTGATAGCACATTAAGCAGAAATACACAAAATTTTATCTGATTTGGTTCAGTATAACCAAGAGAACTCAGTGGAGATGGACAACCATGACCATGCTCAAGACCATATGCCAAATTAAGTGTCCAACTGCAAGACTAGACTAAACAGAATGAAAAATAATACATCAAAATTACTTTCTCCATTTCCCTTCCAAGAGAGGCTAGTCTAAAAGATGGAACCATAACAGAATCTTCATGGAGTTCAAGGGTAAACTCCATACAGAAAGAAATGCTGGTCAAGAGCCCCAACATCTTTGAAGGTTTTGACTAATAAGGAAAAAACAGCATCAGGTTCTTCTAAGCACATTTCATTATAAAAGTTGCCATTTATAGCTGAGCAAGTTCATAGTTAAGTGACAGTGTTGTCCTTTTATTTCCACACACACCCACAAAAATATTCTTTACATTTAGAAAGAAGTAAAAGGAAAATTTGCATATTGTCATCCTACAGATAGCTTCACAGATGGCATTAATGGATATGTGACAACAACGAGATAACATTTTTGCTTATAGAACCACACTCTTATGAATCAGTCCACATTACAAACATATATACAAATAAGATGTATTAAATAAATGGATTCTGAAAAAGGCTAGATTCTCAGATTGTGTAACTGTGTGAATATGAGTATAATAATTAAGCATACAACTTGGGCCTTGCCTGAAAAAATACAGCTGACCACATAGGACAACACCTAATTATTTTCAATTATCAACAGGTGTAATAAGACACACCTCCCCAGGTGTCTTCTATTTCTCAGGGTGTCCTTATGCCTTGATCTTCCTGTTACTTTTGGCACCACTGATTACTCAGCTCGTAGGAACATTTTTGCCTTTGGGTTTTCTTTATTTCCTAATTTTCATTTATTTTTCTGTTTATTTGTTTATGTATTTGAGACAGAGAGAGCACACCCATCTGTTGGTTCGCTCCCAGATGGCCTGCAACAGTTGGAGCTGGGGCTGGGCTTGGGACAAGCCAGTAGCTGGATCTTACATTTGAGTGGCAGGAACTCAATTATTTGAGCCATCACCATTGCCTCTCAGGGTATGCAATGGCCAGAAGCTGGACTCAGGAGCCAGAGCCAGGTATTAAACCCAGATAGTCTGATGTGGGATGCAGATCCCTCAACCACTAGTTCAACAGCAACCCCTGCCTTAGGGTTTTCTGCTGCACTATTACCTCTTGGTATCTCTTGGACAACTCTTCTTGAATCCAGATTCTCTTTCTCTCAGAAGGATTTCTAAGTGGTCCTGTTTGGAGGGTCAGCCACTCCATGGGGGTGAGTAGGGGAGGGTACTGGATATGTGTGGGGCCTTATCCAATTGTCCCAATGATTGGAACGTGCTACTGGCATTTGATGGAGGGAGATGGTGGAAAGGGAGAGGAGCAAGAACCAAAATTGCTCTGAGATACACAGGACAGTTTCATATGACAAAGATGGCAAAGACCCAATATTCTCAAATGTAGGCAACACTAAACTCTTGGGGAACACTGAGTGGTGAGAAAAATTCTTGCTCTTCCGTGCACTGGTGTTGAGCCATTCTCTTGTGCTCTTTGCTCCCACTAAGGTCAAATCTCCCCTACATACATAAGACTGTGCCTAGCGTGGCTCTCCCACATTGCCATCCTTCAGTGCTGCCACCAGTCCTCAGCAAGCCAGTTGCTGTTAAAGATCTCATGGGTGGTTCAGGCTGAAATCCACCCAGAGGCTAACAGGTGTCTCTTTTTTTTTTTTCTGCCTTTTTTTATTTCTCCCCTCATCCAAAGGATTGGGTTCCACCAGTTTTCTTTCTTGTTCTCTTCCTCTTGTTCTCTTGTTCTCACAGCTACTCCTTAGCAGACACTGCTTCTCTTCGTCCATATCTATCCTAACTGCCTTCTCTACAGGAAATCCCTTGCCCTTTCCACCCCACCTGCACACAGAGACTATCATCACTTTATGGAACGTCCCTCACCAGGTTCAATCTCCCCCAGGGTGAATCCTGCGGGCTTGTTCTCCCTGCCTTCTCATCCCGCCTTCAATGACTCGAATATCTCTTTCCCGTGTTTCACCTTGTGCCATGCCCCAGCCTCCGCTTTCTGTCCCAGCCACACTTATCTTTTTGAAAGAATTAAGTGAATCTTCCCTACCTTTCTGGTGATCACCAATGCTAAGTTCAGGTGCTCTCCTTCCCCACTTGAAGTCTCTTCAGTGAAGCCATCTCACAGCCTGAAAAAAATAGGAAAGACCAGTGATACCCATCCGTATTTAACACTTTGACATCTTGCTCGTTATTAGCTTTGTAACAACTGGGATTTTTAAAAAAATATTGCATTTAAATATTCTTCACCTTGAGCACTATGTTTTTGGTACACCCTTAGATTTGCACCAGAGACAAATGTGTCCCTTGCCTCACCCTCGCCCTGCCCTGCTGTGTGGTTTCCTGTCTTCTCACTCTACTCCCCCTGAAAGGCGTCCCTGATCAAGACTCCTGGTGCTGAGCACCCCATCGGTCTCTGCATTTTTAGCAGCGATCTGATCCTCATCTGCTCTCAAGTATACTGCAGGCATATGCTGCCATGGGAGAGGGATTGTCATTGGGAGGTTTGTGGTATTTGGCTTCCCTGTGGGACCAAGACTCCTATGCTGTGCTCTTCCAGGGCTAAATACTGCACCCTCCCCTCACTGAAGCTCAATAAAGATCCATGAGCATCCCAGAATACAAGAGCTGGACAGTGATTGAAGCCTCAGATGATGCAATAATAGGAAGATGCAATAATAGGAAGTCAAGGCTGGCGCCGTGGCTCAATGGGCTAATCCTCCGCCATGCGGCGCTGGCACACCAGGTTCTAGTCCTGGTCGGGGAGCCGGATTCTGTCCCGGTTGCCCCTCTTCCAGGCCAGCTCTCTGCTGTGGCCCAGGAGTGCAGTGAAGGATGGCCCAAGTGCTTGGGCCCTGCACCCCATGGGAGACCAGGATAGGCACCTGGCTCCTGCCTTCGGATCGGCGTGGTGCTCTGGCCATAGAGCGCCGGCCGTGGCGGCCATTGGAGGGTGAACCAACGGCAAAAGCAGGACCTTTCTGTCTCTCTCTCTCACTGTCTACTCTGCCTGTAAAAAAAAAAAAAAAAAAAAAAAAAAAAAAAAGGAAAGGAAGTCAACTGTAGAGAACAAAACAGAAACAGATGAATGAAAAAAACCTCCTCACATCATTACGCTATTACCTTTTTGTGAAAAGTATCTTGGCTAGGTTAGGTTTAGCTCATCAAGAATCCTGGAAGGGGCAGACATTTGGCCTAGCGGTTAAGACAGTTAAGACGCCACATTCAATGTTGGAGTGCTTGGTTTAAGTCTTCTGCTCCAGCTTCCTGTTAATGCAGATCCCGGAAGGCAGCAAGTGATGGCTCAAGTAATGGTCCTGTATTGAGTTCCTGGCTCCTGCCTTCAAGCTCAGCCCAGAGCAGGCTGCTGTAGGCATTTGGGGAGGGAATCAGCAGATGGTAGCGCTCGCTCGCTCTCTCTCGCTCTCTCTCTCTCTCACACACACACACACACACACACACAATTTATTTAAAAAAAAAAAAAAAATCCTGGGAGAACATAATCAGAGAAGTAAAACAGGCATGAGCTCCGTGACGGGGCTGTGGTCACTCGGGGGTGAGTCGCAGCAGCCCTGGCTCGGTCTGGGCTGCCACTCGCTTACTGCCTCACAGCTGCCAATCCCCAGTGCTCAGGACCTCCTGATTCCATTTGCTTCACAGTGAAGAAGAGTCGGCCCAGACCCTGCCACCCCAGGGTGAGAACACAGCGCCAGCAGATTGCAAGGCTAAGCATTTCTGAAGCCTGTGGAGAATGAATTCACTCATCTCACTAGAGAGAGAAGACAGAGCCTGGTGGAAGATTAGCCCAAGTGAAGCCGGAGGTGGGACTTTGGGAAGGGCACAGGACTTGCTGACACCATCATGAAAATGAGTGGAGTCAGGTCTTGGGACTCTTGAACTTCAGACTTCTGGAAGTCCTGTTCTCTGTGCACATTGTTGAGCTCTGATAATCAGAGAGGGGGCAGCTGGGCAGCTGGGTCAGGTCTGTGTCCCTCCTCCTCCTCACTTTGTTTTTCTCTGTTTCCCCTTCCTCCTCTTACTCACTTCCTTTCTCTCTACTTCCCTCTCCTTTCCCAAACAAATCCCCTACCTCACACCCCAATATGATTTATAGCCCCAACAGGTGAGCAAAAATCAAGCAAACTTGATGGCAGTAAGTGATTCCTCTGTATGTATACTTTCCCAATTAATTTCCACATCCGATCCATTTTATGGAAAGCAAACACATGAATTACATGAGGGCTGTTCCTGGCCCTTCTAAAATGCAGTCATTTCTCTAAGATTTGATTGTTTGAACATCAGACAAGCATTCATAAGAAGAGTCTTTTCCAGCTAAAGAGGAAGAGGAAAGGGGATATAAGTAAACACGAATTCTCTGGTTTTGTCATGTTCTGTTTGGGTTATTCCAAAGTGGCATTACACGTCCCTTCTTCATACAAGGTAGCAGGGTTAGACACGCTCCTTCCAGGCCGTGAAGGCTGCTGGGGGCAGGGCCTGAGCTGTGGAGGCGGCTGTCCCTGGGTCTCTGGCTCCTCTCCCGCCCAGCAAGGTCTCTCCCTGAGCCATTAGTTCTCTGGATCTATTGGCATCAATAGAGTTTCTTGCACAAATATTTTAATTCACTGAACAAGAGATCTCCTATTTGAAAAATAACAGGTAAGCATTCTTGTACTGTCAATATTTGAAAAGCCGAGAAGGAAGACATTTGAAAATCATTATCTATCTGTCCAAACAATGTTTTATGTTTTCTGACCTCTAAATGACAACATTTAAAGCAACCAGTGTGAAGCATGGATAGCAGTTTGGCGAGCTCGGATGTTGTAATAAAACATATGGAATGTGTTTTATAGAAACATAAATAATATGTATATAGAAAAAGGAGGAAGGAGGAGCATACAGCCTGGGGAGACTGCATAGGAGTTTCAGAAACATCCAAGAGCAATGTAAGGCAGTGTTTTCATTTGCTGGAGCTGCCATAGCAGATCACCAGCAATTTGGTGGCTTGGAACTGCAGAAGTGTATTCGCTCACAATTCCGGAGGACAGAAGTCCAAAAGCAGCATCACTGGGCCAAAATCATGGTGTTGACAACTGCCTGTTCCCTCCATGGGTTCTAGGAAGACCCCAGCCCCTGCCTCTCCCAGTGTCAGGTGGCTGCTGCCATGGGTTGTCTTGTGTCTGCACCCCCCCCCCCCCCGGGTGTGCCTGCATGGTCACACCGCCTCGGCCTCAGTCTCTGTGTGCAGTCTCCCTCCCCTTTTATCAGGACACTTGCTGTTACCTGTAGTGGCCACCAGGATAATCTCCCTATCTCAAAATCCTCACCGTAATCACATCTACAAAGTCCCTTTCCCCATCAAGTGTCCCGTTAATAGGTTACCAGGGTTAGGATCTGAGCCTGTCGTGGCCCAGCACGCATCCTACTATGGGAGGCCGGGACTCAGGATGAGCTTGGGGAAAACACAAGGATGACAGGCACAGCTCACAGAGAGAGATGACGGACAAAGATGGCATAGGCTGATTGCTCAAGGGTGGAAAAAATGGAACCACTTACTTTCAGTTTGTTTCCAGTTTCTCCCAAACACGAACAGACTTCACATTTGAAATGGCTGAGCATACACCATTGACAGACAATTAAAGATCAAGTTGAATGAGGAAACACTAAGTGTCCGTGGAGCCCTTTTTTGTGAAATCAAATCTGCATATGCGACTCAAAAAAAGTGCCACTTGTGATCTCACGATTCCAGTGCCAGAAAATTTACGGCATTGCATCATTTTGCATTTTTAGGCCATGGGCTTTGGGTCACTTTTTCAAAGAATCTGTCTCTTCCCTCAGCATCCCGTGAACTCCACAGGGTAAGGATTATTTTCCTTTTAGTCCTGGCACAGTCCTTGATATAGTTCTTTATATTTTTTTAACTTCGTAAGGAAAGAGGGAAGGGAGAGAAAACAGGGAAACAAGAGAGAAGATGAGACTAAAAGAGGTATGAGAAGACAGACGCACAAATGTCTCCATTTCCAAAAAGAGGGGATAAGGGGCTGGCATCGGGGTGCAGGGGGTTGAGCCACCACTTGCGACAGGAAGACCAGCTTGGAGTTCCTGGTTCCTGCCTCTGGCCTGAACCAGTCCTCACTGCTGTAAGCCTTTGGGAGAAATGTTTTGTTTTGTTTTTTTGACAGGCAGAGAGGACAGTGAGAGAGAGAGACAGAAAGGTCTTCCTTTGCCGTTGGTTCACTCTCCAATGGCCGCCGTGGCTGGCGCGCTGCGGCCAGTGCACCGCGCTGATCCAATGGCAGGAGCCAGGTACTTATCCTGGTCTCCCATGGAGTGCAGGGCCCAAGCATTTGGGCCATCCTCCACTGCACTCCCGGGCCACAGCAGAGAGCTGGCCTGGAAGAGGGGCAACTGGGACAGAATCCGGCGCCCCGACCGGGACTAGAACCTGGCATGCCGGCGCCACAAGGCGGAGGATTAGCCTAGTGAGCCGCGGCGCCGGCCTAGCCTTTGGGAGAAATGTAACCAGTAGTAGATGGACTATCACTCTCTCTCTGTCTCTCTCTCTGCGTTTCTCCCCCTCTGCCACTGTGCATTCCAAATAAATAAATAAATCTTTTTTAAAAAGATGAGGTGATAAGAATGCATGCAAAAACTAAAAATTGGTAAACCCCATGTTTAATCCAGATAAAAATGTTGAATGAATATGAAATAGAAAGCGTTTGTAACATCAGATCACATCAAGCTTAGAACAGATCTATAAAAACACTTGAAGTTAGGTTTCCCCACACCTATTGTACGAGCACAGGATGAATGTAGATATAGGGGAAACAAATAAAAATGAAAGCCTAAAGCTCTAAGCCTACTATGAGCTTAATTTGAGTTATCATTATGCCCCAGCCCCAGGAAAATGTGGTCAGCATCTAACACTCCTATCCTAGGTGCAGAGTGGCCCGATCATGGACATAATAGAAACTGGGAAACACGGCAGAGTGGAAGGAATATGAATCAAGTCGACCTTGGTGGTGTGAGAAAGTTATTTAAAATGTCTCAGGCTGTCTTTGCTTACCTATGTAATACATGTCCAAAAGGGTTATTACAAGAATTAAAATAAAGAATGAAGGGCCAGGCACACAGAAAGGTTTAAATATTGAGTTCACGTCCTCCTTTCATTTCTAGTGTAATCTGTACAAGATCAATCATGGATGACCAGTGAGTTCAGTTCTGGTCACTACAGTTTAAGGAACACAATGACAAACTACAGATATAGCCAGAGAGAGGAAACTAGATGGTTAATTAGCTAGAAACTACATCTTAATGTACTAATATCTTAGTTTTCCATAACATGGCAATTTTCAGAGTTTTATTCCCCCAAAACAATATCACCAGCTCAGCAGACAAGTGTCAATATGCCATTAAAAAAAAAAAAAATCAGGGCCGACGCCGCAGCTCACTAGGCTAATCCTCCGCCTTGCAGCGCCGGCACACCGGGTTCTAGTCCCGGTCGGGGCGCCGGATTCTGTCCCGGTTGCCCCTCTTCCAGGCCAGCTCTCTGCTGTGGCCAGGGAGTGCAGTGGAGGATGGCCCAAGTCCTTGGGCCCTGCACCCCATGGGAGAC